GGATTGCAACGTACGACATGCCCTGCTCCCCACATGTTGCTTTCAAAACACGAAAGTCACGCGACGCAGAACTTTTTACTCGAGACAAAGTACAAATTGAGCAATGAAAGTCCCTCGCTGGAAGCACAACGGGAAGCTTGTACAAGTTTCTTCACAAGGATTTGGAATCAAATCACGTAACACGAGGCAACAAAGCCTTTCGAGCATAATATGTAAATCAAGCCGTTTTCAGAAAGAGGGAACTGCTTTGGAGGGGTCACCTAGGTTCAATAAAAGATCAAACCATCATAAGTGAGCTAGTGCCATAACTATGACTCTGACCAGAATCATCTGGAAAGGGAAACACTACCTGCTCGGCGATCTTCGCTCCATGCTTCGTTCCTTCCACTTTCGTCAACTCCACCAACACCGAGATATACCTGAATGTGCTTCCTGTTAAAAAATATAGTTATAAATTAAGAAATTATAAAAACATGAAGGTGAAATAGACAGCAATGAATCAATCCCAAAACCCAACGAGAGAAACCAAAGCCAATTTCCAAGTCGCAAAAACCCTCGTCAGCCACTGGCTAATATAAAGCTTTGCTATGGTTTGAAGCGCATTCATACTTCGCGATCTAGCCGCTTGGATGGCGCAATCTGATCGCTCTAGCGTTCGGATTGCGCGACAACAAACTCAACAAGTAGAACCTGAGCTACAAATTAAAACGACAAGGGAGGATCTCCTCACAAACTTTCAGCAGCCCTCCAACAAGCCAAAACCAAATAATGTATACAAAAAGACTCACCATTCGAAGTTAGTAATGAACTGGTAGTTATTATAGCAACAAATGCCAATTATGCGCGACAATAACTCGTCCCTGAACACAGTCGAATGAAGTGAGAGCAAGGGGAAGAGCAGAGAAAAAAATCACTGAAACCTGTAATGAGATCCTTCTGCAGATTCCACATGCTCCATGAGTTTCTTCACGATTTCCATGATGTTCTTCTTGGACACCATACCGTAAAGCAAATCCAAAGACCTGCAATTACGAACTGAAGTCCAACTAGGGCCAATTTTAGCTGTGCACATAATTAATTGACCTTTACACAATTCAAGTAGAAATTCGACGCAAATCGGCTTTGAGGGGGCACCAAGTTGTGCTTAACAAAGCTAGCTAAGGCGACTAAAAACCTAGCAATTCTTGTCATCGCAGTGGTTTTCATACTCGCACACTTTGTAGCTTCATAGGAGCTTCACGGGTCTCGCTAGAGTATAACCTGTTAGTTGACGGATTAGCAAAAGTGAACAGCGAAAAAGCAAAATGTCCCTCTCAAGCCGAACAGCGCCAAGAATTTTAAGGAAGAAACGAGAGACCGTGACACACTACCTCAGTCGTATGCTCTCATCTTTATCGTCCAAGCATCTCAGCACTATATCCTTATGAGCCTGTACGGCCTTTGGATGAGTTTGCAGAATCTTGCCCATTGCCAGCAACCCAAGATACTTGAGATTTTGGTCGGAATCCTCGATCAGCACTCCCAGTTTTTGGACGCATAGCTGGAAATTCTGGATGGTTAGAGCAGAAAAAAAGTTGAATCAGTGAAATATTCTGGAAGGGGCAATTCCAAAAAGGGTCTTTCAAAGAAATGGCTGTTTTCGCTTTGCACGTGCGTTAGCGTGCGTTCATACTTTGCGGCGTTTTGAGCGTTCGGCAGCCTTCTTTTTCTGCCCGCAAAGAGCTCAAAACTACTAGCGAAACGCTCAAAACGCCGAAGGAAGGTATGAACGCACTCTTAGGAAGACAACCCGAAAAAAAGGAAAGGCATATTAAAAAATGTCAGCAAAACGAACCTGAATGCTCGCTGCGTGATCACCACCAGCCGATATACTTATTAACACTAAAAACGACCGATGAATTTGAATACAGAAAATTTCAAGAACCTTGCTGTAAAAACTTCAGTTACCGGCAATAACAGTATTAATGCACTCGTAGAGCAGGGACATGGCGGAGGTGCTGAAAACGGAATGTGAGTTAGAGAGATTCAAAGGCAAAAACTGAGTGAATAAATCAGATTGTTCAACTGTTACACGCCCACAACACTACTGCCTCATTCGCTGCGGATGGTAGCGTGTTAGGGAGGTTGGGTTTAACGCAGCGCCAGCCCGAATTCTACCAATGTTGTCGCTGCCTGCTTCAAACATTGGCAGAGAACTAGTTGGCAGCTCGCCAAACCCAACCTTACTAATATGACCCATCACGCAGGGAACAAGACTGTATGTTGTTTTTTCTGAGAAAGATAACACTGAGAAGAATTCGAATTCGAGGAGGAGTACACTACCTCCTTTAATTTTCACCTCATCCAGACGAATTCTCCTTTTACCCCATTATCTATGCATTGAAAAAACCGAAAGCAAATGTGGAGATGCAGAAGACCACAAAATGCTTGCATATTTTCTATTTTCACTGAATTACAATTGAACTAATTCATTAGGAGTACAAAATCAACAGGTTTCATGACTAGAACCGACGGTTTTTTCCGCTCGGGCTGCGTTCTATCAAGCAGTCTTCCCTAATCATCATTCAGCTGGAATATAATCCAAGCAGTTTACGTAATTTGAACGGCGAAAAATAAACATTTATGAAAGTACCGCCTTCGATGTCATCACATTGAATCGAATTTCTATGATGACAACAGTTGCCCTCACATACAGAAAACTTGTAATATAAAGTATATCGTAATCACACTGAATAGCAAGAATTACCTATTGATGAGGTTGGTGAGCGGCTCGAGGAGTTTTTTGCCCAGACGTGGCTCGAGCGGTACCAACGCTCCAAACTAAATGGCAATTTTGCAACAGTGTGTCGAAATAGACAAATTTACTTTCAGTCACATAAATTACGGTGTAACTATTCCAAGAACAATGGATTAAAAGAAATTCCCACAGAATAGCTTGATCTTGTTGCATCCTTTGCAAAGCCATCCCTGCGATCCCTTCTATGCCAGAAGAGTAAATGCAAAGGGTAAACGAAAAGAGGAACAAAAACAAGTAATTTAGTCAAAATAGATTCATGGAATTTTATCGAAGCAATGGGCCAGAAACATAAAACAGCGCCAACGACACATTTCGCTCCACCATACTAATGTTGAGAATTGGTTCACATCTGTATCTCAGCCTCATAACCAGAAAAACGAACAGTAGAAAATCTTCTGATAGAAGCGAAGAGTAAGTCAACCCTTTTCCCTCAATCAACACTCTACCCTGTTCGAATGTATTCAAAATGAAGAACATTCCATCATAGTCTAGATCCCGGGAAAAAAGTGGTTCCCTTGCATGAGGAAGAGGCATTTTAGTGCGAGCGGCATCACGACTGTGAGCCACATGGTCAGCGCTTTGGCCCGGGCCAAACGGAGAAGAGGCTCCGAATTCAGACAACTACCTCCTCACAAAAGGCGAAAAACCCCCTAAGCGTAAAGAAATTAGTTCGCTAGAGATATCCTACTCTATTTGGCGCCGACATGTTCCAACTTATTGGAACAGCGCTAGAAGTGCGTGTAGACAAAAATAGGATCCTGCTCTAGTCCCACTTAAGTGTGTACTGCCGACCCTAACGATGCAAAAAAAACTCTCAAAATTGACTAACAAGTGCCTTGAGCTGTCAAAAAAGATCAGTTTCAACGTAACAGCAAGTAAAGCTAATAAGTAAAAGTCAAACAAAGGTTGCAATAGAAACCAACCAGTTTAATGATTTTTATCAAGCATCCAATTGTTGCTAGACGTCGTCATCAGTTTGAAAAACACGGGCGCCAGCGTTAGATAATTTTTCGGATTTTTCCGGGCCAATTCACAAATGACGTTGACTGCAGCACTTTGAACGCCTGAAAAGATCCGCTTCAACATTACCAAAAGGTGACCGACCCACTTTTGCAAAGATGAGAACTGTTCTTCGTTTATCGTTTCAATATTACTGACCAGGATCAGGATCTTCAAGTTTGTCTTTCAGGCGTTGGAAAGTCGGCCTTAGCGCCTCCGGATATTTCAAAAATATTTTGTACAACAAGAGAACGGCTCGTTTTCGAGTATATGGGCGTGACGACGAGAGCTAGAACAAGTACTATATGAGTTATTCAGCAAATTTTGAAATACTAGTCTTGAAAACTTACGAGATTAACAATATCACTGGCAAGATCTCTCGCTAGGTCCGGAGTTACGAAACAGGACAAACCACCAAGAGCGACACCCGAATCGTACATATTGGAACTTGAAAGAAACGTATTCAATTCTTGATCGAGGAAAAAGGCTGTGGGTCAAGAGATCCACGTTGCGCTGACTGGCTACTATTTCCTTTCTAGTTGAACTCTACAGAATGTAGAACTTCCACGGTGATCAGAAAAAAAGAAAACAAAGGATCGTTGAAAGAAAACATCAAAACACAGATGGCCCGTTTAGCCCCTTCCTCAGACGAACCATCGCTATTTTTTCAGCCCCGGGGCTCATTAGCGAGGTAGGGTTTACGAAACATGAACGATAATCACGAATCAATCAAGTTCTGGTGCAAAATCAGTGCAACTGACGCCATTTCAACGCTCGATCGCCGCAACATGGATCTCCTGGGCAACATCCACGCCACCATCTACTCTAACAGATTTTGCTAGAGAGTAACATACCTATTAAGATCTTTGCGAATCAAATTTGTTGTTAACATTAACACCTCCGTCGTATCATGAAAACACTGAGCGGCGGCAAGATAACTTAAAAAGGACACTTGAAGGCTTTTCCTGTATAAAACCAGAATGGTCAGCATGAAAGTACCAACCCTATCCGTTTTTCTGTATATTTCGTGGATGCCATCACCTCAATAATATTGAATGCGGCCCAGGAAATATCGTATCCTAACATTTGCAACTGGAAATGATTAGATGAAACGAGCAAGCAGGCAAACTGGAATGCGTCCGTCAGCGTTTTGAGCGACCAAGAAGGCTAGGTACCGGTTATCGCTGGAAAGGCTGGTGGGCGCTCAAAACGCTGACGCTCAACACACTCAGAACGCTGGTGGACGCTCCACACGCTGTATCGGTAGCTAAACATTTCTAGTCGCTGAAAACGCTCGAAACGCTGTCAAAACGTATGAACGCACTCTTATGGGTCACCTTTTACAGGCCGCGCTAATACACTACGAATGTTGAAAAGCGAATCCGCGATTTGAGGGAATGAGCGACTCAGTAGAATCTACGATAGCGAAAAAGATGAGAATCGATCGGACTGCACAACAA